AATGTAATTTCCATGTGCTAAAGAATGCTTTACACACTGCAGAGTAACAGGAGAGATGACTGTGGGCTCATTTTCCCTCTAATGGCTGTTTGGTGTTCTCAATTCTGGAATGATTTCAAGATAACATGAACCACTTCTGAGGTTTTCTCCATCTTCATGGGACATGCTTCCATCCATCCTGAAAAGGTGTCCATAAGAACTTGTAGGTCCTTATCATTTCCAGAATCATGGGGAATCTGCTCAAATCTTACCAGTCTTCAGTAGTTCTCGCTCATTTATGTTGGACTTTCATGTGGGGAGGATTGGTAGTGGACCCTGAGTTAAGCTTAGCAAGGATCCAGCATTTCTGAGTGACCTGTTCAAAAGTCTTAGGCAACTTATGCCCCCTGATATATTTTAATAAATTTCTGAATTCTGTTCCTTCCTAATTAGGACCATGATGTACGACCCTTCATAGGATGATTAGGAGAGCTCAGACATGAACATGAGCCCGGGGGAAACTAAGTGTGTCAGCTCTTACTTACATATGTGGGCCTTTTTCTGAGAGACATTGTACTTGCCTTCAGCCAGATAGTCTAGAATCCTCAGGGTATTTTACAGCCATCTGTAATGGCAAGGCTGGTTATTAGCAAGTGATCTCCATGTTGATCTCCAACCCAAGGCTTCTGAAGATCTCAGCCAGCATTTCTCCAAATACAACAGGCCAATTCAAGGATTCACCTACTGTGTTTATTACCCCTTAGTTAAACCGTGCCAATGGACCTGGGTCATTTGCGTATCTGGGTTCTGCCATTGAAAAGTAATCATTGCTGGGACTCCTCTGGCACAGGTAGACAGAAGAATGCAGCTTTTCAAACCATCACTGACAATCATCCATTTTCTCTCAAGATTTTGTTGAGCAGAGTCTATGGACTGGACACCACAGGGTGTAAGTACTGAACCGGTTCATTCGAGCCACAGGTCCAGGACAGAATGGAACCCTGTCAAGTTAGGTCTTCTTCCCAGGAGAATAGGGGTGTATAAGGGATTGGCAAGATTTAGTGAAGTCTAGTTTTTCAAGAATTGGTTATATGGGGACAACCGATGATGTAGCACTTACATTGCTGGACTCCCAAGTGGCAAAACACGGTTCGAGTCCCAAACCAGATGGCTTGAAACTCACCCTGGGTGTGTGTATGCCTGCCCAAGATCCCGGGAGAAGAATGGAAGAGAAGAGACTGGTGTGGCCATTCCCCTGGGGGATGATTCATTTTCTCTCTCACTGTCTCTGTCTGTCTCTCTCCAGAGATCACAGGTGCCTAAGGAAAAAATCTCTTAAAAAGAAAAAAAGAATTGTTTATATGTCCTTTGGGACTTCTTGCCTCAATAGGTAGTAATTTAAATTCAGGGTCTCTGCACCTCCATTGAGTGATATCCAATTTGTTCATGCCTATTTCAACTTGTTCAAGGTGTCATTAGCTTACACTTGGGCACTTACCTACCTGTATATTTTTTTTTGGGGGGGGGGAGGAAGGATTTTCCAATTTTTCTAAAAGAGTCAGGAATTGTTCTGGTGGAACTCTTATTGACCCCTCTGTCCTCATCTGAGCATCTGCCACTCTCTGCCTCCTGGGAGGCTGCTTTTTCTGACCTTTCACCTTCACCCTATTCAACATGGGACTCTCTTCTGGTGACCTTCATCTATAAAGTAGCACAGTTATATTTTCCAGTGAGGGGTTATCTTCTTTTTGAGTTCCCATCTTATCCAGGGCTGCAGTCATAAAAGTTGGTATTCTGATCTGCATCTTCCTTCTTGACTCTGTCCCTACTGATGACACCTTAAAACCACTATCTAATGGGGTTCATCCAAATGATCCATTTGATGTTTGCAATTTCATTTTACTCTCAGGGGCACTTTGTCCTATAAAAGCAATATAAGCAATATTTACCTTTTTTAATTTTTTTTTTAGAGAGAGATTTTTTACTATCAGGCACATGCACTCACCAGACAGACAGAGAAAGAAAGAAAGACAGAAAGTGAAAGATCATCCCCCAGGGCAATAGTCATGCCACAATCCCTTCTCCTCCACTCTCCTCTTGGGATCTTGGTCAAGCACACACACGCGCCTGGCATGAGTCTCAAGCCACTGGGTCTGGAACTGGAACTGCAGTTGGTCAAGTGGAAGTGCACTGCTGTACTCATTACACCATCTTCTGGACCCCATACTTGCCATTTTTTATTGTTTTCCGATTCCTCAGGGTCAACATCAATACATTACCCATAAGCTTGGTTAATCCTTTTTAGAAACTCTGATGGACATTCATTAGGATTATCTTGTAACTCCTGACGTTGATTTAGGCCCTGGGAATTTTTTGCAAGCGGGACAGAATTCAAGTCTTATAATGTTCTAGTCCAGTCATTTCCTTGTCATCATTTGGGTTCCAATTTCCTTAAACAATGGGGACTGCCTGATTTGCTTCTGCTGTTCCAGTAGGATCCACTAGACGGAGACGCTGAGCTTCCTCCCTTGCTCTGTCAATAACCACCCTCCACCCATCCCCAGGAAGCATCATATTCCTGGGAGCAGATTATCTGCTCAGGAGGGAGGATGAGAAGCAAAACTCAATGCAAACCGTTCAGTCACGTGCAGAGAATCCTTTCTATAAGGATGATTATTATCTTTATCCAATTAAGCAAATGTGGGGTTGAAATAGATTATGCATCCTTAGAAACCGGTGCTGAGCTTGGACATAAAGCCTGCCTAGGGGATATTGGTGCTGCAGAGATTGCCCTGTCCTGGGGGTGGCTCCCAGGCCAAATTGAATTTTCTGACAGGCTCCAGGTGGCGACTCTAAACCAGGTCTCACTACCCTGTGCATTATTCCTGGGATCAACTCAGCCTGACCTTTCTAAGGCAGCAACTTTACTTGTCATGTTCCAGGTTGCTCCACCCGGGACAGGGGAGCTGAAGCCATCGACGCCCGTGGTCACTGCTCTGACAGGGAACAGCGAACCTCAGACCTGCCGAGCAGCGCAGTTATGGCTCACACTGCAGGAGACACACCCGACTTCTGGGATTCTCAGATCATGTTGGAACACACACCAGTAACACATGTACCCAATGTAACTTACAGATAATAAAAACCATTTCCTGTTTGACGATGTTTCCCGCACAATTTCAATGTATCAGGTAAGTCTAAAATCCAGCGGTCCATTGACAACTCCCCCAAATTAGTTTGAGGCTCAAAGACTTCACGTGGAATGTAAATTTGATTTGGGAAGTCTGTCAAACAGGAAAGGTTAAAACACTTGGTCAAATCAAAATCAAAGTGTCCTGCACATACTAGTCAGTTATTTAAACAAAGCAGTACTTAGAAATCTCTTAAAAACATAGCTACAAAATAAAACAACAAAACTGTACTCTTTGATAGAGAGGAGACTCAAATCTTTCCACGTAAGGTAACTAGATGACTTGGTTTAGACATCAGAGGCACACAGAACTAGTCTCCCCACCCCTTATTTTTACACTGAAACATGTTTAAAATGTTTTTTAAAAGAAAAAAAAACACTGTATTAATTTTCAATAATATAAAAGAAAAACATATCTAAGAGAAAAAACTATTGTAGGCTTCCTTGACTGTATCTTTCAATGACTTTAGAGACCTTCACTTAATTCAGTCACACACAAGTTCCCCATTCCCGTTTATATTTCAGCTCCCTTCTCTATAAAATTCCTTTTCTTCTACTCACTAAACAATCTCCAAACACCCTCTACCCCAGACTAAAGGACACCACCCACCAGGGAGGGCGAAACTGCAGGGAAGGGGTGGGAGGGAAACTCTGCAGCTCTGAGCCTCCAGGATCTCATGGTCGGGGGAGACCCAGGT